CAGGCTGGTTTTGAACTCCTGATCTCAAGCGATCCTCCTGCCTTGACTTACGAAAGTGCTAGTATTACAGGGGTGAGCTACCACACCCAGCAAAATACCACATTTATGAACCAAATTTCTACATGTTCTTGGGTCTATTTATAGATATTTTATTAGTCTGTTTCTGCTTCATGCACTAGTACCACATAGTTTTAATTATAGAGATTTTATAGTATATTTTTATTTATTTTAAAATAATTTAATTCTTTGTCTTGGGTGAAACTGTCAATAGTATGTTTTAATATCTGTTGCTCATCATTGCTTTTGTTTTTGTTTTCTTTCTTTTTTTTTTTTTTTTTGACACAGTCTCCCTCTGTCCCAGGCTGGGGTGCAATGGCGTGATCTCAGCTCACTGCAACCTCCGCCTCCCGGGTTCAAGTGATTATCCTGCCTCAGCCTCCCGAGTAGTTGGGACTACAGGCGTGTGCCACCATGACCAGCTAATTTTTGTATTTTTAGTAGAGACACGGTTTCACCATGTTGGCCAGGATGGTCTTGATCTCCTGACCTTGTGATCTGCCTGCCTCAGCCTCCCAAAGTGCTGTGATTACAGGCATGAGCCACAGTGCCCGGCCTTGTTTTTGTTTTCTTGCTTATTATCAGATTTTCTTCTTCCATATAAACTTTTAGTATCAATGTACCTAACTCCAGAAAAACTTTTGGTATTTTAATTGGGATTATGTTACATTTCTGAATAAACTTGGGGAGAATGTCTGGTATTAGTGCTATTTTACAACGTAGGAAATGTGGTCCTGGCCCATGTGGTAAGATCAGAAAAATAACAATAGAAATACATATTTTTGGCCAGGCGTAGTGGCTCACGCTTGTAATCCCAGCATGTTGGGAGGCCCAAGTGGGCGGATCATGAGGTCAGGAGTTCGAGACCAGCCAGGCCAATATGGTGAAACCATGTCTCTACTAAAAATACAAAAATTAGCTGGGCATTGTGGCATGGGCTTGTAGTCCCAGGTACTCGGGAGGCTGAGACAGAAGAATCTCTTGAACCAGGGAGCAGAGGTTGCAGTGAGCCAAGATTGTGCCAGTGGACTCCAGCCTGGGCAACAGAGCGAGACTCCATCTCAAAAAAAAAAAAAAAACCAATTAATGCGGGATACAGGCGTGAGCCCACCGCACCACAGGCATATTATTTTCCATTCTTATTTTATACGAACTCCTGTTTCCACTTGTGTTTTCTTTTTTTTTTTTTTTTTTTAGAGCGTGAGTCTCCTCTGTCCAACCTGAGGCTGGAGTTGCAACGTTTGGCGATCTCGTACTCACTGCAAGGCTCCTGCCTCACCGGGGTTCAACGCCATTAACTCCGCCTCAGCTCACCGAAACGCTGGGAACTACAGGGGCCCCGCCACCTATTCGCACGGTATTTTTTGTGTTTTTTTAGGTAGATGGGGTTTCACTCGTGTTAGCACAGGGATGGTCTCGATCTTCCTGACCTCGTTGAATCACGCCGCTCTCGGCCTCCCAAAGTGCTGGGATTACAGGCGTTGAGCCACCGCACCGCTATTGCCTTTCATACTGCTGTTTTTGTTCTTTTTACTTTTTTTTTTTTTTTGAGACGAAGTCTCACTCTGTCACCGGGGCTTGGTAGCCAGTGGCACGATCTCAGCTCACTGGCAACCTTCCATTCTCCGTGGGTGCAAGCGATTCTCTGCTCTCAGCCTCCCAATGGTAGCTGGGAATTTACAGGTGCTGCCACTACACCCAGCTCAATGTTTTCTATTTTTAGTAGAGAGGGTGTTTCACCATGATTGGCCCAGGCTGGTCTCAAACTTCCTCTGACCTCTGTGATTTGCGTAACTTCAGCCAGGCAGGACGGCTGCGGGAGTATAGGTGAAGGGGGGCCAGCCACCAACCACTGTGGGTGTTTTCGTGTCAGGTGGGGACAAGAGAGCTGGAAAATAAATAAGACAGCAAGTATAAGAAAGAAGAATTGGACGGGACCGGCACTCAGCATCTGGTAGGACCCGCACCAGCACTGGTCTCCTCAGTTCCTCAGTATTTATTGACTTACCATTTTCACTATCTCAGCAAGGGAATGCGAGGAGCAATTACGGTGATAGTGGGAGAAGGTCAGCAAGAAAACATGTGAGCAAAGGAATCTGTGTCACAAATAAGTTCGAGGGAAGGTACTATGCCTGGAGGGCACGTAGGCCAGATTTTATGGCTTCTCTTCCACCCAAATACTCTCAGTGTAGTCAAAGAAATAACAGGAGCAGCGTTGCCGCCAGCATGTCTCCGCCTCTAATCCCACAACGCAGTTTTCTCCTATCTCAGAGATAGAAACCAAATGTACAAGATCCGATGTTTTATACCAAGACACTTTCATTCCCAGGGGCATGCAGGAGACGGGGCCTTCCTCTTTTACTAATCCTCTCAGCACAGACCCTTCATGGATGTCAGCTGGGGACGAGTCAGGTTCTTTCCATCCCACGAGCCTATACATTCAGCTGCTGTCTCAGTGGGAAAATGTTGGGACAACACCCGGCTTTCCTGGCAGAGGTCCCTGTGGCTTTTCGCAAGTCATGGGTGCCCCTGGTTAATCGAAGAATGGAGAATGGGCGATGACTCTCTTACCCAGCATACCTGCCTGTAAACATACCTTGTTAACAAGGTTACATCCTGCACAGCCCTAGATCCCTTAAACCTGATTCCATAACATCATGTTCTGTGAGCACAAGGTTGGAGCTAAAGTTACGATTAACAGCATCTCAAGGCAAAAAATTGTTCAGCCGCGCACCAGAATATACATATATTACATATAACCTTTTTCTACATAGACAACAACAGTCCTGATCTCTCTTTTCCAACACAAAAACGGCATGAGCAACTGGCGCATGGCCACAATTTTCAATCAAATAATACTTTTCTATATAAATTTGAATTTTTTTTTTTTGTCCTCATTAAGTACTGTACGTTTTCCGTCTGGCACGTCTGGCTCATGCCCCTGTAATCCCAGCACTTTGGGCAGGCAATATGGGAGGATCGTTTGAGGCCAGGAGTTGCGAGACCAGCCTGAGCAAGCACACCAAAAACTTTTTTTAAAAAATGTCCAGGCCGGGGGCGCGGTGGCTCAAGCCTGAATCCGCCAGCAATTTGGGAGGCCGAGACGATGCGGATCCACGAGGTCAGCGAGATGAGACCATCCTGGTTAATACGAGTGAAACCGTCTCTCTAAAAAGTACAAAAAACTAGCCGGTGAGGTGCGGCCCTGTTCCCAGCACTTCGGGAGCTGAGGCAGAGAAAGCGGCGTGCCCAGGGGCGGAGCCTTGCAGTGCCTGAGATCTGGCCACTGCAACATCTCAGCCTGGGCGAACAGAGCGAGATCCGTCTCAAAAAAAAAAAAAAAAAAAAAAAAAAAAAAATTCCTTTCAAGGCCCAGGGCGGTGGGCTCAACCCTGTCAACCCAGCACTCTTGGGGAGGGCCGAACGGCGCGGATCACGAGGATCAGGAGTTCGAGACCATCCTGCGCTCACAATGGTGAAACCCCGTCTCTACTGAAAAAATACAAAAAATAGCCGGGGCAGGGTGGCGGCCTGTAGTCCAGCTCACTCGGGAGGCTGAGGCAGGAGAATGGGCGTAAAAACCCGGGAGGCGGAGCTTTGCAGTGAGCTGAGATCGCGGCCACTGCACTCCCAGCCTGGGTGACACAGCGAGACTCCGTCTCAAAAAAAAAAAAAAAAAAAAAAAAAAAAAAAAAAATTCTTTCTCTCTTCTTTTTCTTTATTTA